TTCGTTGATTTTCATTTTGGGGTGAAAATGTCGGCGATTTCTCGACGTAAAAATTCAAAACAACTTAAAATGGTCGGATCGGATAGAAACAAAACTAAATGCCTTTGAAATTAAAATATCATCGAAACAAACGACGATATATTCCACGCCTGTTCTTGTATTTGTTTTCTCCAACTTAGAAAGCCCAAAAATAGAAAAGTTTTTTACCAATCGATAGCGCACTTGATGCTGATTCCGAATATATGTTTGTTTGCCCAATAGCTATGTTGGATTTTTTAAAATTTTTGCGTATAATCCGATTTTCCGATGGACACGGGTTTTTTAGTGTGTTTTTGTGTATAGGATTTTCCCAGCTTAAATAAGTTCTAGGACATAAAAAGTTTTACCATTTAATAGAGCATGTTCAAAGTATATTAAGTATCCTTAAAATTACTGAAAAATCAACTTTCATTTTTTCATCAAAAGACGGCCTGGATGCACACTGTGTAATTCAGATAAATATATACATAAAACTACAGCGTGCTAGTTATTAACACAAAATAACAATCGTTTACCATCTGATCGGTTATCAAGAGTCATCGTAACAAGCAGAAAAGAATAAACAACGTATGTGTCTGACTGTTTTTCTCTTTCCATGTGTGTGTTTTGTATTTTTTAAAATCAATATAATGGCAGTCACTACTGTTCAACTGCTATTATTATCGCTTCTTTCAAGAACTCGGATTGTTAGCATTCATTAGTGCTGTGCACACTACTTCTAAGAAGAAAGCCGATCAACAAATGCGAGAGAAGAGAGTTATAGCACTTGTCCCTCCGGAGTGAAAGTTCACTCCGTGGAGTAGTGGAGTACGGTGTTTCCCCCTTGGTTATCACGCTATAAATAAGGAAAAAAGATCCCGTGAGTATAGAAATCAAAAATGTGTGATAAAAGTCTTTAAAGTGCTGTAATACTATGCACAGTGGGCATTTTTCTATTAGCAGGCGGATAGTAGAAGTTTTTGCTCATAAACCAATTTTTCACGAATAATTATCATTGCTTAGCTAACTCTGTTGATTTTAATGAAGACATAAACGTTCTGAGAAAAAAAACATTTTTTGGAAAATTGATTTTTGCTGGTTTATGGGAAAAACTTTCGATAGTTATTTATTTGATAAAAACCTTATTGTGTTATACATGATTCTATGTAACTCGACGCTTTTATTTCAAATGTGATCTTTTTTCTTAAAAGTGTTCCCAGAGTGAGAAAAATAGATTTTACCTGGAAAATCCAGGTTTTTTTTGAATTCTTCTCATGGCTAAATTCAAAAACAAAGTGCATAAAAGTCTATGCACCATAGATGCACGGTCTATAGACGAACATTTCAACAACTATTGGGTTATACCAGTGTAGGGGGAGATGAGGAAGTTCATTGCACTGATCACATGTCTACGGAAAAATTAGTTAGCGTGGAACTAATTTTGTATCTGTGGAAGTCTAAGTTGAAATTGATAAATTTTTTCGCGAATATATATCTTAGAGAATCTAAATTCATATTCCGTTCCTATTTATAATTCGATTGGATTCGGTATAGGCTACTTTTTGACTAAGCATTTTTCGATGATCGTTAACAGCTTGAGGAAAAATTCTTTTACCAATAGATAGCCCATATATCCAGGTATACGTTTCTCTAAGAAGATCGGAAAATTGACCACTTCGACTTTTTGGCTAACTGTCCGTCTGAATGCCCGCTTTGTTTGATCAGTGCGATAATTTTGCCTCAGAAACCAGTGTGTTGAAAGCCGTAAAACCGATGTTGCACCGTTGGCTCGGTACTGTCATACAAAATATTTTGACAGTGGAAGTCGACAATATTAACCATACTCGGTGTCTTCCATGGAAGACTAACACATCTAGTCTATTATAGAATCCAGAATTTTAAACAGGTGTGCCCTAATTTTAAAAAAGCTTTCATTAAAAGGAAGTTCATGTATACCGTTAAATGAGTGAAGGATGTTGTTGATGAAAATATGGATCGGTATGAACCCTTTACGGCTGAAACGGAAATAATGGAAGATTGTTTTGCAAGACAAGTAAGAGAAACTGGAATTGACGAATGGGCAAGTACAGCTGCAAGAAAAGAGAATGAACAATTTGAATTATTTCGAAGAAAACCAAATGCTGATCTTTCCAGTATGTTTCCAAATAAATCAACAAAAATGTCGATAAATCTAGATCAACTTCGACAAATGACGGTGAAAGATACTGATAGCATTAGATTACTACGTACAATGAATGAAGAACAACAAGATATATTTTATAACATCAGTCTTTGGTGTTTAAGAAAACAACATATACTGAATGTTGAACTAGTACATTTATTCCTAACTGGTCCGGGTGGTAATGGTAAAGTC